CCCCGGTTCGATCCCGGGCGGAAACAGGTTAACCTTTTTTCAATTTTTTACACATTTTCACTTATAAAAAACAACCAATATAACGCACTGAGAACAATACTATTAAATACTATTCTATTATAAAAAAATTAAATGAAAAATTATTATTTTTTTTTTATATATTTATTATTATTTTATTTATTTATTTATTTTTTTTTTTTTGAATGAAATAATAAAAAGATATTTTTGCTTGGTTACAATTTTCAACCACACAGAACAATAGCTGTATTATTTCCATATCCTCCTAAAAGTATGCCACATAGAATTGCCACATACAACAAATGCTTACTTATTATAGACACAAACCAAATAATATTATTTTATACACCTCTTTCATGTTACCTAACACACCACAGTTGTGGTGTAGTTACAAGCTGATTGATATGGACTCTTGGATAACGGTTTTGTACAGCCCGGGTAGCTCAGTCGGTAGAGCATTGGACTTTTAATCCAAGGGTCCAGGGTTCAAGTCCCTGCTCGGGCGATTCAACTTTTTTGTCGTTTGATTATTTAATTAATAAAATATAATAGCATTTTTAAGAAGATTTGAACGAAAATAATGTGCTCCCAAAATAAATTTAACAAGGTTGTGGTAAACTTTGTTGAAATTTTCTCTTCCATGCATAAGTCATTCTGCTTCTAAATTTAGTGCCACATTCCATCCCATTTGGACAAATATTAGACGTTTGGTGCACATTAAGACGTAAATCGATCGAAGATTTGTATGGGAGCTATAGCTATATCTGAACCGATTTCGATCAAATTTGGCATACCTAATTTGGTTGTATGTGCAAAATTCCATACAATTCGGGCTGATATTACACGTTTGGTGCACAATAAAAGGCAAATCGGACGAAGATATATATGGGAGCTATATCTAAATTTTGACCGATTATCTCCAATTTCAATAGGGTTCGTCCTTTGGCCAAACAAATGATTTGTGCAAAATTTCATCTGGATAGGGCAATAAATGCAAATTGTACTTTGTTTACAAAAATACATGGACAGACGTACAGAGGACGGACGGACGGACATGCATAAATCGACACAGAATATGATTCTATGCAGATCATCAAAAGGAACTATGGGTCTATATCGTTTCATTTTGCCTGTTACAAACAAATGTGCAAAGACATAATACCCTGACCCTGAACATTGTGGGGTAGGGTATAAAAACCGGCGTCAGTAGGGAGTAAACTCTTTTTTGACGAGATTTCTTTACCATTCTTTCCGAAAAGTTTCAGAGTATTTTGTATTTTGAAAGAACCAAGAAGAAGATTTTTTATTTATGACTATTTTTTCTTCAGCATTTCAACGGAACGCGTGTGCAGAACATTTGGTTCCTTAAAAGTGTATGTGCTTATCCTTAAAAATAAAAATATTTTTATTATTTATATGCGGCATTGGAACATACTCCTGGAACTATGGGATGGACCATAGAAACGAACATAAAACGATTTTCGGACAAATCCAATAACTTTCCAAATTTCGAAAAAAAGTCATTTTTTCCGATTTTTGGTTAAAACTATCAAAAATTTTCTTAATTTTCCGAATTTCGAATAAAACATCCAAAAATTTTCCGAATTTCGTATCAAACATCCTTTTCGATATTTTTCAAAAAAAAAACTTTCAGAATCTTGGGCAATCTCACACAATTTTGTTCCGGGTTCGTTCCGAATCCGACGTCAGAATCGGAAACTTGTGCAGATTTGTTTTCTGAACTCGAAAGAAAAATCAAAAAAAAGAAAGGTCGAATGGATAGCTGAAATTTTTAGTTAGTCCATAAAAGTTCCATATAAATATAATTTGTTTAAAATACATTAATAACTGAAACCCACTATATTTAGTCAATCCGGTCATTTGATAAAACATTTAACTGCAGAAATCTGTATGTTTTCATTAACATACATGTTTTTTTCTTTAATGCGATGTATATTTATTGAAGTACAAAGAAAAAAGAATTGCATCGGCCGGGAATCGAACCCGGGCCGCCCGCGTGGCAGGCGAGCATTCTACCACTGAACCACCGATGCTTGTGATAACCTTACAAGACTAAACTCTATAGTTTCATATTCCACAATACTTTCACTTTCAAATATGACTTAAAAAGTTGCTGATACAACTCTTATTCAATGCTATTCAGATAAGAAATATAAATACTTATTCGGTTATATTCAACTATGGAATTCACAAAGCAGAATAGGGAAAATAAACACCATATCCTTATGCATTTTACGAGTGGTCTCGTTTTACAAACCATTTCTGTAGTCAAAGCTCATCATGGAATTGTTATTTGAAATTTTAGGACTTTTTTTCAACACTACGAAGTCTTTATAATCGAACCCTTGAAATGGAAAAGTACACATTTTCTATGATCAGCGACTATAGAATTCTTAAGCAAAAATCAAAACATGTTTAAAAGTATTAGTCGGTTTTGCCGACATATGTAAACCCTCAGCCTGAGTTCACACACACTTTTAACCCTTTATGGGAGAGGTTTCAAAATGTTGTCCATTTCGTATTGGACCTAAGTCTGATATAATTATTACAACGTGCCAAATTTAAGCTACAGGATGAGATAAAAAAACTGCAACAAAGTCAAACGCCATAATTTTTATTATATATTTTTTTAATTTTATTGAATGAAAGCAAAAAATGTTCGAAATAGCATCAAATTGGCAAGAATTATGACCTTCAAACGGCCAATGAAACCGTCACACGCCGCCCCAATGTTGCTCTGCGATATTTTGGCCCATTCCCGGTGAAGCGCTTGCTTGAGGTGATCGACACTTTGGTATTTTTTAGTGCCAACCTTGCTTTCCAAAATACTCCAGACACAATAGTCTAACGGATTAGTATCCGGAGATTTTAATGGCCATTGTGCACAAAAAATGAAGCGAGGAACCTCATTTTGTAACCATTCTTGGGTGGAGCGTGCTGAATGCGATTGTGCTTAATCCTGTTGGAATGTCCAATGTCTGCGGACAAAATATTTGCGTTCCCAAGGCTTAAATACCCCATCCAGAATATTTTCGCGATAATATTCGGCATTTGTTATGATGCCACGGTCGATTAATACAATCGGAGAACGACCATCGGCTGTTATGGCGATTGCGATATTTTCAGCTGACGAGCCATTTTTCGGTCACTGTGACGCGAGTTTCGATTAAGTCGCTTCGATGCGATGGTACGAGACACAAAAGATTTATTCACATTTAACCACCAGCATGGTGCTCTAACGAAGTTGGTTTCAGTTTTTTTCATCTCACCCTGTATGTAGTTCGTAATGGTCGTAATGGGTGGCGGGACATAGTACCCCCACATAATTGCACCTCCGGATATTCAGTATTTCGATCATTTTTGTCACATTTTTCCACGGATTTGTCTAAAAATTGGTATTTATAGTTGTTAATAAGTTCTAACCCCTGAGGCAGAACATTGACAATTTAGGTGGACGTGTTCCTATACCGCACATATAATGATACTCTGAATTTGGATAATCCTACTCAAATGTTGGGTACTTAGGTAGATGACAATTCTGGAAGTATAAAATTGTCTTTGGTATGGCCCCCATACAACGCCCTCATCCACTTTATGGTTTTTTAAAAAAAATTTAAGAGTATTATCCAAACGGCCTTAGTGGTATGTTATAGTTTAAAGTGGAACACGTTTGAATGCAGGCACTATTATATAAAAATATTTTGTTTCGCCCAAAGGTAGAGGGTATTAAAAGTTCGGTCCGGCCGACCTTTATGTATTTTATTTGTTACAACTTGAAACTCTATTCGTTTGGAAAACAGTTCGATATAAGGGCAAATTTTTGTTCGCGATTATTTACAACGTTTAATATATACAAGTAAAGAGTATGATACCCTAAGAAAGCGTTGTGGAATATAAAAACGCCGATTATTACAACATATCGATCTTGGGATTACGTATCCAAATTCTCTCGGGTTATTCTAATTCAAGGCAAATTCTCTCTAATTATTCTAATTCAAGGCTAGCTAGCGCCTATGTCTACCTCATTAAATTTGCGAAACAATTAGGGATTAAGAAAATCTACTTACCTCGCCAAAACTCCGTGTTAATGGTCAAAGAAATCATAAAGCTCTTTTCTTTTTCAAAGTAAAAACCTTAATTTTCTAAAAGAAGAAAAAGACATGTAGTTGCATCATTAAATATTTGGCATTTACGACATGTGGTTTTTTCACAGCCACGTCCAATTGCTTTTCATGGCATACGTGACAACTGAAAAAGTACTGTATGTACTAAAAATGTCCATAAATTTTGAACATGCACTTTTAGTATACAGTACTCTTAATTTATCACGTTTACAAAGAAAGTGTCACATGGCAATGGGGTACAGTACCATATGGTACAGTTCAGAATAACTGTAAAACCCTGGAAAACCGTTACCTGGGCACCAACTCTCATCAAGCATCGGTGGTTCAGTGGTAGAATGCTCGCCTGCCACGCGGGCGGCCCGGGTTCGATTCCCGGCCGATGCAATTGACTTTTTTATATTTTTCATTTATTTTTTTTTTTTGTTAAAAAAATAAAATTTAACTGCCTGCAAAGCATTAATTAAATTATTGAAATCAGTATGCTGTCGATCTCGGATACGACATTTGCTTTTTTAAACAACAATTATAATTCAACCATTTTTGCAAGTCCATTGCGATAAATTTAAAGCATTTTAATTATTATCTTTTTTTATTTGAAAATTCTTGGCCTATTTTTTTATGGAACCAAAATTAAGAATTAGAAAATCAAGTGCTTATTTTATTTTTCAAAAAAGTCAATCGCCCGAGCAGGGACTTGAACCCTGGACCCTTGGATTAAAAGTCCAATGCTCTACCGACTGAGCTACCCGGGCCTTGTGAGAACGTTGCCCTATGTTCTTTTTGAACACAGACGACCATTGCGTTAGAACTTTTCTATTTGAATAAAAGAAAACAAAATTATTTAGAATATTTATTTGTAAGTCATAAATTTATTTCGTTCGTAAAAGAGGTGTTGTGCATGTGTGTATGATTTATTTAATTAATAAACAAAACAGAAAAAAAGAACTAATGCTATTAACTTAAAATGTAAATGCTTGTGAAATTGGTAATGTTGTGTCATGCTGGTACTTAAAATTAATTAATTTTATAACAAACAATTCTACTATATATAATTCTTTTAGTTATATTAATATTAATGTTTACTTGTTTTAGGAGAGCAAAAATTATGAAATTTAATTTTAATTTTTTAATTTTTAATTTTTATAATTTTATTTTCAATATCTTTTTTTATCTCAAAATAGGGAAACCCTTTCAAAATGGCCTTAAAGAAGAGAATAGTGGCAATTATCCACTTTCCTTATTAAGTATTGGCCACCTCTTGTAGGTTTCCTCGTGTGGGATCTTCCATTTTTTCTTCATTGTTTAAATTTTAATACATATTTTTTTATTCGTACTTAATTGGCACGGCATATGAGCGGAATCTGATTTCCATCTTGGCACGTTTCTTAAAATTTAAAAAAATAAAAATGTTAAAAATGCTTTGACCGGAGAAGCCGACCATGTAATACCCTACGCCACTACATATCCTCGAATTCAAGTAAAAAAGGGATTTCAATGACTGGACTGCATTTTAAAATTGAGGGGAAAGAGATTTTATAAATTGACCTATGGCGACTCTATAGACGTTCTTTAGGGCGTCTCTTTAGACGTCCTGAAGGGCGTCTCTATAGACGTCCTGAAGGGCGCCTCTAAATACGTCCTCTAGGGCGTCTCAATAGACGTCTTCAAGGGCGTCTCTATAGACGTCCTCTGGGGCGACTCTATAGACGTCCTCTGGGGCGACTCTATAGACGTCCTCTGGGGCGACTTTATAGACGTCCTCTGGGGCGACTCTATAGACGTCCTCTGGGGCGTCTCTATAGACGTCCTCTGGGGCGTCTCTGTAGACGTCTTCTAGGGCGTCTCTATAGACGTCCTGTAGGGCGTCTCCATAGACGTCCTGTAGGGCGTCTCCATAGACGTCCTGTAGGGCGTCTCCATAGACGACCTGAAAGTCGTATCTATAGACGTCCTGTAGGGCGTCTCTATAGACGTCCTGTAGGGCGTCTCTATAGACGTCCTGTAGGGCGTCTCTATAGACGTCCTGTAGGGCGTCTCTATAGACGTCCACAAGGGCGCCTCTATAGACGTCCACAAGGGCGTCTCTATAGACGTCCACGAGGGCGTCTCTGTAGACGTCCACGAAGGCGTCTCTGTAGACGTCCCGTAGGGCGTCTCCATAGACGTCCTGTAGGGCGTCTCCATAGACGTCCTGTAGGGCGTCTCCATAGACGTCCTGTAGGGCGTCTCAATAGACGTCCTGTAGGGCGTCTCTATAGACGTCCTGTAGGGCGTCTCTATAGACGTCCTGTAGGGCGTCTCTATAGACGTCCTGTAGGGCGTCTCTATAGACGTCCTGTAGGGCGTCTCTATAGACGTCCTGTAGGGCGTCTCTATAGACGTCCTGTAGGGCCTCTCTATAGACGTCCTGTAGGGCGTCTCTATAGACGTCCTGACGTATCTATATACGTCCTGACGTATCTATATACGTTCTTTAGCGCATCTCATAGATGATCTAGGTTTATAAACTCAATTTTTATAAACCTCTCTTTTGGATAGCAGTGGTGTAAGTTATGAAAAAAAAAAACAAAATAAAATAAAAATTGTCAAGAAAAAATAAAACTTAAACTAGACTTAATAGCAAATACAGTTATTTGTTTATCTCTCTTAGTATCTTCTAGTGGTGTCCTTTTTAAGGTGTGTTTTTTTACTAAAGTCTATTCAAATTTGTTGTTGGCCTTAAGGATTACATCTGCAGACACAGCATGAGGGGAAGAGGAACCAATCCATGAAAATTCCCTTACAATCATTGTCGGGATCATAGGCCAGTAAGCGATGCCATTTGTATTTCTGCTCACAACCGCATTCGCCAATGCAACGCGGCGTTTGGGCTTTTCTGTGGAGGAAGGAAGATAAGGAAGATATTCAGAAAAATTGAGGATAAATATGTATTTGTTTGCTAATACTTACGAGCAAATTTCCTGATGTATGGCCTGTTCAAAATGTTGTGTATTCACAATGGCCCTAATTTTACCCGCAGAGTTGGAGGCCCAATAGGGTGTGACAATTTCCACCTTCGATTCACAGGCATCCAATCTGTAACAAGGGGACAAAAAGTTTGTGATTTAAAATCGAAAGGCAAATGTTTGAAAATAAAAACTTGGGTGCCCAGTTTTCCTCTAAACCTACCTTCCTGTTGGCGAAGCCTGTTGGCCACTTCTCGGTCCCGTTTGCTTGGCATTTCGATTGCCCGGATTGCCATCCCGATTTCCCTGATTTGCCTGACGTTTATTGCGCAGCTTACCAAAATAGCTCTCACCATGTTCCTCATCGTGCGGTTCCACCTCATCATCGGCCACAAACGAAGGATACGCCCCAGGTGGTAAGAAAATATCTGGTTCATCAATGAAACGCCTCTTTCTCTTCTTCGTCTGTTGCCTTGGTCCACCATCGTCCATATTCATTTCAAAATCGCCATACATTCGTCGCATTAACGCCTTATTATCATCAATGAAACGTTCAATTTTTTCACTGAAAAGAGAGGGTGGAACGTAAATAATTATTTGTATTTCATGTAATTTGAATTTTTTAAAACTATTAATAATTCAATCATAAACAAATTCATTGTTGGCAAACAAATCAGCTTAAATGATATTCCTAACACTTCCACAACGCCTACCATCGTTGTCTCTGGCATATAAGCTCACACCATGTCTGCTAGACTCACATATCATGATTATTTGAAATAAACTGTCAAGAATACTGAGTCTACGCTGTGGTGATTACACATCAACTTTATGGGGTCTCAAATGCATATTTAATAAATTAATTGTAGCTTTTCTCTAATTGCTGTCATTGAATTTCTTAATAATTGCGGTGTTATATTTTTTATTGGAATGTGAAACTCGATATAGGAACACTGGAAGTGAAGTGAGCCGGAGAAGAGGTACGATCGGCTGAAGAAATGAAAAAAGAATGAATGAATGAATGAATGAGGTCTCTATAGAAGTCCTGAAGGTCGTGTATGTAGACATCTTTCAGGTAGTCTCTATTGACATCCTGGGGGCGTCTCTATAGATGTCCTGGGGGCGTCTCTATAGATGTACTGGGGGCGGCTCTATAGATGTCCTCAAGGGCGTCTCTATAGGCGTCCAGAAGGGCGTCTCTATAGACGTCCAGAAGGGCGTCTCTATAGATGTCCAGAAGGGCGTCTCTATAGACGTCCAGAGGGGCGTCTCTATAGACGTCCAGAGTGGCGTCTCTATAGACGTCCAGAGGGGCATCTCTATAGACGTCCTCAAGGGCGTCTCTATAGACGTCCTCAAGGGCGTCTCTATAGAGGTCCTCAAGGGCGTCTCTATAGACGTCCTCAAGGGCGTCTCTATAGACGTCCTCAAGGGCGTCTCCATAGACGCCCTCAAGGACGTCTTTGTAGTCGTCCTGAGGGGCGTCTCTACTAATGTCCTGAATGTCGTCTATATATACCTTCTGAGGGTCGTCTCTGTAGACGCCCTGAAGGCTATAGACCTCCTAAAGCACCTCTCTATACATCTCCTAAAGGGCTTATCTATAAACCTCCTAATGGACATCTCCATAGACCTCTTAAAGAGAGTCCTTATAGACCTCCTAAAGGGCATCTTTATAGATGTTCTAAAGGGCGTCTCTATAGATGTCCTGGAAAGCGTATCTATAGACGTTCATGAAGGTGCCTCTATAGACGTCCAGGAAGGCGTCTATACAGGGTGAGATGTCAAAAGCTGCAAACCAAATTCTGACTGCAGTCATTTCTAAGCCACTCGTCCGACAGCTGTTAAAATTATACCAGTGGCAGCTTATTATATTGTTTACAAGCGTACAAAAGCAATTTGGTGAGAATTTTCCAGAAAAAAACTTATTCGTGATGGAATTCAAGCGTGATAGTGTGATTTCTTTATATTTGGCTGGAAAACAACAAGTGGCTACCGTAAGAGCACGCCAGCATTTAAATGTGAATAAATCTTTTGTGTCTCGTACCATCGCTCGTTACCGTGATACCGGTAGCGTAGCCAGACGTCAAGGAAGTGGACGAAAGAAAACAGGAAAATCAGCAGAAATTGTTCTAAAAATAAAGAAGCCGAAAAATAGCTCGTGAGCTGAACATATCGCACTATTCCATTCGGCAAAAATTGAAAAATGAGCTCGGCGTAAAGCCATTAAAATTCCAAAAAGTGCAAGAACTTACACCACAACAGAAAGAAAATAGACTCAGAAGAGCTAAAAAGTTGTTTCTCTTGGCCGAAAGTGGTGAACTGCCGGATTAGGATTTCTCGATGGAAAAACATTCGTTGTCCAGCAGTTTTTAAACAAACAAAATGAACGTGTTTACTTGCCAAAGAGGTCAGCTGAAAATGTGCACCTTCGGTTGGCCACCAGAACTCAAGCGCTGGCCATGGTGTGGGCCGCCATAACAGCCAATGGTCGCTCTCCGCTCGTTTTAATCGACCGTGGCATCAGAATAAATGCCGAATATTATCGCGATTATATTGTGGAGGGTGTATTAAAGCCGTGGCCACGCAAACATTTTGGCCGTAGACCTTGGACATTCCAACAGGACTCAGCAGCACTATCGTACTCAGCACGTGCCACCCAAGAATGTTTACAAAATGAGGTTCCTTGCTTCATTTCCGGCGCACAATGGCCACCAAAATCTCCGGATACTAATCCGTTAGACTATTGTGTCTGGAGTATTTTGGAAAGCAAGGTTGACACTAAAAAATACCAAAGTGTCGATCATCTCAAGCAAGCGCTTCGCCAGGAAAGGGCCTAAATACCGTAGAGCAACATTCGGTCAGCGTGTGACGGTTTTATTGGCCGTTTGAAGATCATAATTCGTCCCAAAGGTGACCAATTCGAACAAATCTAAACTTATTGTAAAATTTGATGCTATTTCCGAAATTTTTTGCTTTCATTCAATAATTTGTAAAAAAATGTAAAAATTATGTCGTTTGACTTTGTTGCAGTTTTTTATCTCACCCTGTAGATCTCACATAGACATCTTCAAGGGCTTTTTCTATAGACGTCCTCAAGGGCTTTTCTATACATAAGTTATCATCTATTTGCCATATGCTGTAGTATCGATTCCGAACTTCAAATATTTAGCTCCTATATAACGGTTTTAATTTAAGCGGTATTTTTTGACGAACTTTTTTTTTGAAATGTTTAAAGCACCATCCAAATGGTGGAGGATATTAAAATTTCTGCCCTTCTTAATGTAAAAATTATGGCGTTTGACTCTGTTCCAGTTTTTTATCTCACCCTGTATAGACGTCCTCTAGGGCTTTTCTATAGACGTCCTCAAGGGCTTTTCTATAGACGTCCTGGAAGGCGTCTGTAGACTTCCTGGAAGGCGTCTCCGTAGACGTCCTGAAGGGCGTCTGCATAGACGGAGACACCTTATTGAAATGGTGCAACAATAAAAATGTTCGTTATATCCATACCCCACTGTATATTGAAACGCATATACCAGATTGTTCTTATCGGCCAGTTTCTATGAATTGCATGTTGAAAAAAACAGTGGCCCTTGATTTATCGATTATTGAACATGTGCATATGCTGCTTTCACATGTCATTCACTTTCACTAGAAGATTAACAATATACATACATGCATACATATTTACATATTTTATTTTATTTTAATTTTTTTTTTGCTGCTCTTTTGTTCACCATGCACGTTTTCCCACATGCCACACCCCTCGAACATAAGAATTGACAAAAAGAGAACACATGTGCTTTTTGCTAATTTTTCTTGGCACACTCTAAAAATAGAAATTCTTTCACATTTCGATGTGATTTGCAAGAAAAATTGAAAAATTTTCTTCGATATCGTATCGAGCGTAGCATCGGTGGTTTAATGGTAGAATGTTCGCCTCCCACGCGGACGGTCCGGGTTCGATTCCCGGCCGATGCAGTGATTTTATAGATGAATATATGCAATACATTATTCCTTTATTCTCTGAGAATTGTTGACATAACTGCAGATACAGCGGAAATAATTCTCATTCGTGTTATTGATTTGAGGGAATAGAAACTCCATCGATGAGAGTTGAAAACATTGTAAAGTTAGTGGAAATAATTCTCATTCGAGTTAATAATTGTTAAGAATAGTTGAAATTCCGAAACATTGCGACCAGATTGCAAAATTACAATTCCGCCCGAGCAGGGACTTGAACCCTGGACCCTTGGATTAAAAGTCCAATGCTCTACCGACTGAGCTACCCGGGCTACATGATCAAGAAACTTGAGTAGAAAGGAGAGTAAATGGGTAAATCTTATGTCATAACTGAATATCCAATAGATCGGTAGTAAGCATCAAGATATAAAATGTGTACTAGATTTTAGCAGACCCTTTACCAAAATGTACACTACCTCGCTTTGACAATTATATGGTTATGAGTACTTTTTTATTAACAAATCTTGTAAAAGAAAAACGAGTGAAATTCGTTCTAAAAGATCGGAAGCGCGAAACTATATAGCACTATATTGCAGGTTCTGGAACAAAACATATGTTTGAAAATTTTCCTATGGGTCACCATTGTCTAAAGACAGGTATATTAAAATTAAGCAAGTTCTTCAATATCCGAGTACCCAATTTTAATGTGTATTACACTTTTTTGTATATGTGGTGGTTACTTTCAAGAGCTAAGAAGTCTTAACGGGTCGGAATTTTAATACCCTCCACAATTTGGAAGGAACTTTAAACATTTCAAAAAAAAAAAAGAAAAGAAAAATCCGTAAAATATGACGCTTAAATAAAAACTGTTATATGGGAATTATACAAAGACGTGGACCTACATAAGAAATCATCTGCCATATGCTGTAGTACCGATTCCGAACTTCAAATATGAAATTTGAAACAATTCCGCCAGATAATGTCGCTAAAATCTTCAAAATACGAAATAAAGGGAGGTGACGTTATATGGGGTCTATACGAAGACGAGGTTCTACACAGACAATTTTCTGTCAAAGGTTGTAGAACTCATTACGAACATGAAATAAAAAAATGGAAACAATTCCGGTGAACTAATATCATCAAAATACCGAATATATGAGGGCTGTATGAAAACGGTCTACGTTTTAATGGCCCATTTACATAACTTAACTTGTCTACTTAAAAATACACATGTGTGCAAAATTGTTCGATATCCTCCACAGATTGTTAATATATTCTCCATAGAATAGTGGATCGTGTAAAAACAATAAAAACTCACCACCTCATGATATGCTTTGTTGGTACCGATAAGAGACAATGTCCGTCAACATCCTTCTTTTTAAATTTTCTCTTTCGAATTGAGCTTATAATGACCAAAGGAGGACTGTTTTGTTTGCAGCTGTGGCTTGCAAATACAAATATTAAAAAAAACACGGTATCACAAAAACGTAACTTATTAGTAGTATACTCGATTCGCAGAAGAACTACCGCTTCGAGTTTCACTCTATGATCAAATTTGAGCGAGCATTTTGGAGCTCTGTCTATGTAACGTAGGCTTCAATT